TCTTTTTCTTTCGGGTGTTTCAACCCAAGAATTAGGAATGAGTGTTTGTGAAGAAAAAAATTAAAACTAATTGAATTAGGGTTTCTACAATTGGGGCAACAACAAAAAAATTGGGATTGCAATTGGAAACAAAGACAACGATTTGACTCGATTAATTCATGAGAAAACGTAGAACCAGTAGAGGAACACAACCGAGAACGAGTGGATCAGACGAACACGACGCATGAGTGTCATAGAAACATTAGACTCATTGATGTAGAACCCAGAATTTCCAGGCCCCAAATCAGGTCGACATCCAAAGGATTGAAACAGATTTCAAGAAACTAAAACCTCAAGAAGACAAAGGAACCAAAATTGACCTCAGATCTAGACAGAGAGGTTTTGGAATCAAAGAAATATTAGGGAGTAACGTCCAGAAAAAGAAAGTGAAAAGGAAAGCAAGAGAAAAAATGCAACAGACTTATCCGAAAAGGAGAAATTAAGGCGAAATGAGACGGAAGGTGAAAGAAGATTCAGAAGGTTGTGGAACGGGGATTTTATAGAAAGTGGGGGGAGAGGGGTAGGTGGGTTTAGGGAATAATAAAATGACATTTTTGTATTATTTGTCTAATTGCTGGGCTAAATTGCTAATTTCGTGTGTCATGGCTGGCGTCAATGGTGAAGGAAGACAGCTAATCAACGTTTGCCACTTCAACCATTGTACCGCCAAATAAAAGGAATATTCTTTTATCCACTTTTGTCCATTTCTTTCCACTGTTTCATTTTTCCTTTTCTTTTTCCATAATTTAATTAGTCAGAAGTAGGAAGCAGCAAAGCCTTATATTCAAAAGGTTCAGTGAAATTTGGGGCGTCCAAGTCCCGTGTTGTTTCTGCTTAGTCTAGAAGTTCCAGGCTTTTAGCCCTCCTTGTTACCAAAAAACAAAAAAAGATCAGTGAAATTTGTAACCTTCGAAGGAATTAATTTCTTACATAGATCAATGTAATGTTACTTTCCTTCTCGATGTAAGAAGGGGTTCGAAGTTTAAATCTCAATTTGATTATTAAAAAAAATGATGCATACATACAATTCTTTGATTTTCATCCCAATAAAAGATTGAAATAGCATAAATAGTTGGCCACATAAAAATATATAAAAATAGAGAAGCAAATTAAAAAAACGAAATTGAAATATAGTGTAAATTACTGGCCAAAGAATGATGGTATGTAAATTTTGTGGTTTCGTTGTGGGGAACTGATCCTCTATATTTTGTACCGCAGATGAGTGGCACGTCTATAATAGCATGACAGTAAAACAAATAAACACACACAAACACCAAAGCAAATGAAAACTCTCGCACAGACACGCCCAGGAGACGGACAGAACCACTTATGTATGCATACACAAACCGCATCATTTGTAAGCGTCACATGCCAGACGCAGAAACATCCATGTTTTTGTCCGATAAATCCAAGGTGGGCTAAATTAGATGGACATTGTTGAGTTTCAGAGAACAAATGCAACAGCTACTAACACCGGCTGAAAGAAATACAACAAACTACTACCAACCATGGAATCCTGCTCAAAGTTTGCTTTCATATCCTGATGAATATCTTGAGCTATGCGGATTAATTTCTAGGTTCTAAAATTGGCAGGGGAAATGTTCTTTAAGCGGCGAAGTTCACTCAAGAAATCCATTGATGAACCAGGAGACCCAGCACCGCCTGTCGAAGCCATTAACTAAAGATAGCCAATCCAAATATCAAATCCTGAGAGACAGACAGAGACAGACACGGAGAAAAAGGGAGAGATTCCATACTCACCTGATGAGGAAGTTGGAACTGACCCCATGCTGCTCCGCCTCCTGTGTGCATAACTGGTCTTTCTGAAAAATAAAAACTACAAGTAAACAAACCAGCCAAAATATCGTGAAACTCGCGTTTGCGATGCATGAATGAGACATCATACATGCTGATTTTAGATCTATTATTAGCACATGCTTAAATGAGGTTTGTTTCAAGACCCTTATTCCTTCAATCCAATTCTTCTCTTTCTGCCCCAGGTTTGGTTTCGACTCCTTTGAATCCTTCCCACTCTTAACACCCAAAGTTCTAAACTGAACACTCTGAAGAAGGTGGTAGGTAACAATAAGACATTTTTAACAGAAGTTTAAACCCTAATAAGCCTCCTTTGAAGCTTGTGCTCTGAACCACCAAAGAATTATTCACCCTCAGGCTCAGCCATCTTCAATATACAGTACTAAACCTGATATATTTCCTTCAGTTATCACAAAAATTTGCAAAAGAACTTTATGTCATTGAATAAACTACATCATACATGCATCAATTTGGACATCTTAATAACTTGAAGGTCTTTAATTTCATGCAGAGTATGCTATAAATCCCTAAAATAACCAAACCTGACCTGATAAATCTACAGATGGATCATTGAAGCAATGCATTGCAGCAGCCCAGCCTGTGTTTTCAAACGTTAAAATTTGCATTGCGTCAAAGTATGCAATTATTATCATCCAACTCTAAACTCATACAAGTAATCACCAAAAAAGGGCTTGGTTGGAAACATTCTTTTCATCTTTTATTTATGACAGCATAGCTGGAGATAAAGATACAAACATGACCAGAGAAAACTTGTGCAAGAATTTGGATATACAACCTAAAGCCTTTACATTTTCAAACTTTGTTCCAAATAAACAGGTGAGTCGCCTCAAAAATTTAACATCTGAGCCTGCTTAGTAGCAAGGACACTTTAATTTCGGAATTTCTTGTTATAAAAAGACCAACAATAAGAAAGGAGGATGTCAGTGTGGGTATCATAGCTTATTATCCATTTAATTTAATTTCTAATCATCATGTTGAAATAGCTTGCATCAGCCTTTTCAAGCAACTGTTGACACATACGATTATTTAAGAGCTGGAAAGCCGCACTGCTGCTACACCCCTCTAGAGCTAGTAACCCTGGACGAGAGTTCTCATTCAGAAGACTGCTGCTACTTGCATCCCCATGATCCATACCAGATAAACTTCTTGAAGAAGAAATTTGATTCCTCTCCAAATCACTCCCGCCTTGAGGATTGTTAGTTCGATCAAACCGATCTGAAACAGTAACTTATAACTATATTAGTTATATATACCATGGAAATATCACAATTTCCTTGGTCATTCAATCTCTGGTAAACAAAAGAATAAATAGATATGTACAAATAAATCAAAACAGACAGCCAACAGCCTCTAAGCCTAATGGCACCTAATAACAAGGGTGGAGTGAGGGCAAGTCTGGGGTTTAGTATGGTGCACCTGTAATTTACTTAGCAAAACAACAGAATTAAAACAGGTTTTCAACTTAATGATGAATCAGTTAGGATAACTTGCACTTGGTGATGATATGTATATGCACAGGTATAACAATGAAACAGGTAAAATGTACCAAGTATCTTCATTGGATGTTAACACGATAGGATCAAACATATGACCACACACAAAAAAGGGGATTAAAGATAAGGCCACATGCCACTGGGGTGCGGTTGGGAAAGGGTAAGGATCAACATTTGTAATCAAGATATTATGTACTGACACAAAAACTAGAAGTCATGGAAACTAATGATTTCCTAATAAAAGTAGCGTTGGAGTAAGGATCAACACTGCTCCCTGTCAATGTCTGTTTGTAATAGTGCTGAATGAAAGGCAAGACATTCCATGGTTCCTAACGACATAGTTTTGTTGGGAACTTCTAAAGAAGTACCCCTCACAAGACTCGAAACATGAAGAATGCATAAGAATCAAAGGGTTGAAGAATGAGGGGAACTATAGCAGAATATATGGAGTGCAAATTCAACAGAGACATATGATTAACAACTCATGAGCAAGGATCACTCGAACAAATCGCTTCTGATATTTAGGATCAGTGATACAAAATGACCAAAACAAAAAAACGAAGTAACGACTACATAAAAAGGATGGAAGAAGACAATTTAGTAAGTGTCATAACATGGTACGCTCATAGTATATAATTATGCTAAATGTGAGAAGGGGTTGAGAAACAAATTGAGGATCATTGTTGCCACAAAAGTATGCTTTGGCAGCTGGATCATCGTAACAAGGAGAATTCAGACTTCTATATCAAAAGGAAATTGAGGCTTCCGACATGAGGACTTCAAATCAAAGTGAAACACAAGGAGAACGGAGAATTAGACACACACACACACAAAATTACCTGCGGACTTGCGTCTGTTAAGAGGACGATTCCTGCAATGCAGTCCAACAAATTTAATTGTATAACAAATTATTTTTGAAAGAAAATGAGACAAAAGTAGTCTAATGGAAGAACGAATACCTCTGACTAGGAGGAGCATAGCGCTTCACGTTTGCCGGTGGATCTGCTGCGGCTGCTGCCGCTGATGTCGGATTTTCCAGCATCCGTGGGTCAGTGTGATGACTCTTACCCAACCCACCTTAAACAAAGAAGTGCTCAAAAGCTCAAGCTGCTCAACAATGAGAGATGGGATATTTCTGATGTTTATATATTTTTCTTGTACAGTTTTTTTTTTTTTTTCCTTCAAGTCGTATTTTTGGCTTTGGGTCCGATTCGCTGAACCTGACTTTTCCTTTTCTTTTCTTTTTTTTTTAAATAAAAACGATTATGCGAATTACAATTTGCTACCATGAGGTTTACTCATATAACGGAGTCATTTATATGGTTTTAATTTTTACAAAGATGCCCCTGAATTTTCGAATTTGTAATCCAAGACAGTCAGCAACTCCGTCAATTCTTCTGGATGACATGGTAATCGTGGAACTCATGCGTGTTCATCTTTCATCATCATATGTGTAGTGATCATGTGGTCATATGTGAGCGTTTGATTGAAGACGCATATAACTCTCTAAAGTATTGCCTATATATCAAATTTGTTGATGCTCAGCATGCACTGAGTCCATTCGTCCAATAAAAGCACAATATGTGGGTCTCGTACAACGCAATGAAATAAACTGTTCTTCATCGACCTCGGCCTCTGAGTTTTCCTAGGAAGATCGAAAGGATATAAACTAGCCACATTGATGACAAGACTCCCTCTGACCGTCAACCCGACGCGCCTCATGAAAACATGCCCATATCCCTTTGAAAGCCAGGTGTAAATTGTCCGGGTCTCCACCCCACCAGATGGGACTACAACTATGTGCAACAGGCTATTATGATCACGTATGCCCCTATTTAAAATGTAAGAGGGTCTTCATGAGCAGAGGATGTGGACGAACCCCGACCACCTATCCTCTGACATTTGATGTGACACAAATAGTTCAGCTCCAAGGAGAGGTGGTCGGCTTGTAATTTAATTCATTTTTTGTTCTCACTTTGTCATATTCAATCCCCTTCTCTCCAAAAAACACCCCTTTTTCCTTGGAGACCTCTTTGATATAATTGTATTACCTTCATGTTAACTATTTGAATATTTGTAGTTCAAACAAAATTCATACATGAATTAAGGATGATTCAAAACTCATGCGAATTTCTATAAACCCTACAAATTAATCTCATTTTTAATTAATCTCTTAATTTTGTGTGTTAAATGTTTACATGGCAAAAGTGAGTTCCTAATTGTGTGCTTATATGGGCTTTTTTTAAAAGAACACTACATAAATAAGTCTCTCAGGGCATGTTTGTTACATCGTGCAAGCTTGGACTGGCTTGGCTAAAGTTTTATCTCATGTTTGTTTCACCCTGTTCTAATTTTAAGTGGGATTAACTAATACTGGGCCCACCAAAAACACCTCCTTAGGTGTTCTTAGCTGAACCCGTCTGGAGAGGAGGGACTAACAGTCCCGACGACCCAAGCAACTAGCAACCACACCCAATCGCCCTACAACCAATGACCCACCAAGCAGCCCACAACCACCATCCCCAACCACCAAATATGACCACCCGCCACGACTACCAGTCACAGCCACCAGCCACAGCCACCCAAGGAGGAGACGAAAGAATAGAAAAGGAAGAGGAGAGAACAGAAAATTTTGAATATAAGAGGAAGAGAAGAGAACGGAAAATTTTCTAAAAACAAAATAGAAAATAGGAGAGAAAATGGAGAATAAGAGATGAGAGAAATTTTTCGAAAAAAATAGAGAAGAAGAAGGAAAATGGAGAGAAAATTTTAGAAAAAAACAGGGAAGATGGGAGAAAATTTTTGAAAATAGAAGAAAAGTAGACAAAAGAGGAGAGAAAATGGAGAAGAATAAGATAAAAAAGATGTAGAGGGGAAAAAGAAAGATATGTACAAAGGGTCGTCCAAAAATGAAAAAACGAGATGCAAAGAGGAAGAAAGAGATGGAGAGAGAAGAAAAGTCAAAAAATATATAAAAAATTAATAGTCATAGTCCAATCAAACATACACCAAACGCTGTACATGTGTTATCTAGCTTATGTCATGCTAAGCCAATCCAAGACAGTACCAATACTTAATCCAGTCCATGACAGTCCCCCGTACCAAACGACCCCTCACATCAGTTGCCTCAATAGAATTAGTTTATATGAATATAGGAACAAACTCAACATATACAACAAACATAATCCCTCTATAAATTACCTATAAATTTGTAGTTTATATGGGAACCACACATGAGCTTTGCACAGTTAAATTCCCTATAAAAGTTCCAATATCATTACGAACCACTATACATATTATATTGCATAGACACCCTATTAAGCCCAAGTGTTGAAGTGTCGAACACTTGGACACTCCTCGAATACCCTTGTTCAACAGTCAACGCTGTGTCCACGATTAAGACACTCTCCGAACATGGTTCAATTCATACTCAAGGTGAACAAATGTGTTAATTCAATTATAATTCATATAAAATTAATAAACTACATTTGAAAGACTTGGGAAGCTTGAATTTCACTATGAAATTGGAGTATGAACATCAATATTTTATTTAAAAAATATATATATATATAAATATTTTTTTTTTAATTGCTGTGTTCCCGTGTCCTAATTTTTTGATATTTGTCATTTCTCCGTATATGTGCAAAGCTTATGTGTAAATGATATTTTTATTGACATTGAGTTGAATGTTATTTTTATTTCTCTATTAAAATGATAGTTTTTATCGGCACTCCAAAAAATTATTTAACTAAAGATTTATCAATTTGCAATGATTAATTAAATTTTCAATTATTGTTGAATGTCCTATATAAAATTCCTTTTAAAGAACACAAACGATTTGCTTTTATAGGAAAATGAACAAACTAAACCAAATTTATTACTAATGGATGGATTTGGTTCAATTATGCTATTAATTTGAGACCTAACTAAACCAATTCAATCTATGATGTGACCTTAATTCAGTGTTTAGTTTGAAGCTTAAACATAATTAAATCATAATGAGCCCCCATCCTTTGTGGAGACCAAAGTGAAAATACTCCAACTTGCATGGATCAAAGTTAAAAAAATTAGTCAAAACAACTTGGGTCCGAAGTGAAAATAATTCAAACTAAATTGGCCATTCCGTTCCATCTGCCAATTCAAAGATATTTGAGGTACAAAAGTACAATTTATATTTTGTAATTCGGTAAATTGAAAAACTACAAACCACAATAGCTATTTGGCCTAAATCTTGGGGTGAATCCACAAATTGTCTAAATCATTGGGTGAAGCCACAAAATAATAAAAGCCGTCTTATCAGTCTCTCTAGTATATATATGAAAAAACAAGGAAACGGTGGAGGGAGGGAGGGCGGTTGAGAGAAGAAGGAAATGGAGGGAGAAGAAGAAGCAGCCGCAGGCGCAGCTTCAACGAAATCAACAGAAAGAAAGCATTCTCTCAAACCCCACCCTATCTTCAATAACTATAACAGCTGGAAGCACAAGGTCTCTATCCCAATTCACGATCCAGAACTTGTTCCAATCTATGTTTCGTCTTATTTCTTCAATTTTTTTTTTTTTGTTGTCGACAAAATTCGAAGTTTGTGACTTGTAAATTCGTAGTTTTGATCCTTCGATTTTATTTTGCAAGAACTTAGTCTATCCAATTGGTTGTACGAATAAAATTAACAGTTATCTTGAAAATATCTGTTGGTGTCTCTATGTGTGATGAATTGACAAATAAATTTTACTTCCAATCTGTATGTTTTGTAGTTGAGAGAGAACTGTTACAAAAGAGTAAGAGAAGACAGAAGGCGGTTGCTTTGGAAGATGAGAATGGTGCCCACTCCACAATTTCTCAATCACATTCCAAATGTACTCCAGCTATATTCCTTTTTTTCTTTTACTTCCTCTTGTTTCTGTGTGCAAATTTAGTTTACACTTAATATATATATGTATATATCTTGCTTTTCCTATTTGGTGGAAGTAGTTCATTCATCCAATAGGCTAGTAATTGTTTCCTGGTCTTCTGTTTGCAGGATTTGATCAAATCTGCTTTCCAGGACATAGTTTCCGCTGAATTGGGAAAAATTAAGGACTCGTCATTGGATGACAATACGAGGATTTCGAAATCTGTTCCTGAGGGCAATGATGTGTTATGGGAATATGAAGGCCTTACAGACGCATACCAAGGTGATTGTGAAGAGATGCTGTTAGAAATGCAAAGGATCTTTTACGAAGATCTGAGTACAGAGCCAACTACAAAAGGTAAAAAATGGGTGAAATTAAGTTTGTTATAGTCTCAATTTTTGTAGCAGAAAGTCTCCTGACTATCGACTCATAATGCAAATTGAAATAACAGAAAAAATAATATATTCCTGTAATCAGAAAAAACTATAAGGTAGTTTTTGTGAACTACAATGATATTTTCTTATATAATCCTTTCTGTTTCTTGTTAGCTTTTGTCAAGCAGTTATACATTCCTCTTCTTTGGCTCACAAATGTGTGAGGTTTCTAAGAATTGTTCTTATCTCCTTGTCGCTAGATACAACTGTTTAGATGTTTTTGTAACAATATTATGAATATGATCATCAAATGAAATTTTCTGAAGCCGTAGTTATCCTTTTCCCTTCCTACTGTTGTTCTTTTTCTTTCTCTGCATGTGCCTTGGAAGTTTTCATTGGTCAGTTCATCATTTTGAACAGAGATGTTTACTCTAGCTCTTTGCAGAAACAGAAATCCGTGTTGAAACATGGGAAGATGAAGAGGATGAGTATTTGGCCCAGGCGGTTTATGAGCATATGCAACTGAACGACAAGCAGGTATAACACCAAAAATTCGAGTATTCAATGAAGAACCCACAATTTATACGACTATATATCCAATTTTCACATTTTATTATAGCATAATAATTGTTGATCGATGAAGATATATGATTGCTAATATTATCAATTTAATCTTTATTGTAAATTTGTACTAAGGAAACTGTACTCAAGCAAATGTATTGTTGACATTTCAGAGAATATCACTGTAGCTATTGATTAATTCCAAAATATTATTAATGCTGTCGTTGTTATGATTTAAAATCCAATTAGATGTTGTAATGAACATTTACTCATACCATGGAAGGCTAGCACTCACTGGATGGTAGGGGCAACAAAGTGTTAATTTGGTCATCCAATTTTTGGAAGATTAAAAAACTCATTAAAGGGATAGCTCAGTTAGGCAATGTTAGATGCATTCCATAAAATTTTTCTGGTGCAGTAGCAGTTTTAAAACTTAAGTTAGACAAGAGTGAACTTGAAAAGTTGGATGCAGTGGGAGGCTTTTCATGGTTTGGGCTCCCCTTCTGATGTCTTAGTGGGAACTTCAATTTTAGGCCCAAGTTGTGTGGGAATATATTATTTCCTGCTCGAGGACAGTTTTCACTTGTCAGAACTGAATAAAATTGACTTACAGGAGGGTGGCGGAATCACATTTCTTAAGTTTATGCTCTCTTAATGTTCTCACTAGTACATGTTCGTGTTCACTATTTCTATTGATGACCAATTAATAACAGAGGCTCCAGATGTGATTGTTATGGAGTAGTGTTGGGAGGGGCATTTGAGTATGGGCATGCCCCCTATTAGAATTGTAGTATGTCACACCTCGGGTCTGAGAACATACCCCTTTACCTTTTTTACCAAGTTTAGGGTGTGATAAGATTGTATGAGAGTCTAAACCAGCTGCAAGTGTGTGGACTTGCCCCACACACAGAGTTGTGACCCAAAGGGGTGCATTGTGAAACCCAAGATCCCTTGACTGAGATTGTGAAGATTACCTGAGGCAGATATAACCAAGATGGTTGAGGGGATAGCATGAGAGGTGAACACAGCGTCCATGTGTTGAGTCTCACAGAACCTACTTGAGTTGAGTGGAAGTGCTATATATAGCATCTCTTCAATCGAAAGGCGGGTTACGCCCAAAGTGGGTATGTGGATGTGGGTTGTTACAAATTAGGAGTAAGAAAACTTGGGTCTCTTAATCAGGCTGCCTTGTGTAATTGGATTTTGAAGTTCACAGGGGAAAGGATTGTCAGGTCTTTGGTATATGGATTGTTGAAGTCTAAAATCCTGCCTCTTAATTTTTGAGCATCTTATTACAGTTGTGGTCTCTCAGCTTGAAATTCTAAGTTTGTCCTGTGAACATGCTTCCCATTATATTAAAGTGTATTAAAATGATCCATATCATGCCATATATTTTGTGTCCACATGAGTAAGAGGCTTATAATACTTTCCTTTTTCTTATCATTATCAGTGCCTTCTTCATCTTGGATACTGATTAGAATTTTTTGACCTTAATGGTAGCTGCGCAAGGAGGAAGTTTGGTGCCCCATCTGTAAGCATGGAGTACTACAAGAGAATTATCATCTGATTTACTGCAGCCTATGTGAAATTCGGCTCAACAAAGGCGATGAGGTCTTGCATCTTCTTTTGATTTTATTCATGCTTATGCGTTAATGCTTTCTTCTGTGCTCACCTATCTATCTATGTATTAATATAAGAATTTAGCCATCAAAAGATTTTATCAAATATCATTATGCTGCGTCCTTCCCTTATTAAGTTATAATATAGATCAAATTAGAGTGTTTTTGTTGAAACACATGCAGCTTAGAATAATAGCTAGCAAACGTAGTTGGACATTTTTGCTTCAAAGTAGTGGTTTATCCTCTTCAATTTCCTAACTAATTTTCGTATGGTAAAAGTATGCCTGAATGTGTCACGTTTGTGAAACAGGTATCCTTGAAGATAAAATGCCAAATGACGTTAGTTTATATAGTTTGTCAATTTGATTAACCATCTTGACCATCTTAACTTATGAGTCAAAAATAAAAAAATTGCAGGTTAATTTGGAATTATTGCGGGGCAGGCTAGCAGAAGTTCATGCAGAGCATTTTGATCGTGGGTGCACATTGAAGCCCAAGTTCTGCATCGAGACTAGATTTAATATAACTGCATTGTACATTCTTTGTGCTGCTTGTAATACATTTGAGATTGTAATATGAAGATGGTCAATATTTACTTCCATTTTTTTATGGTTGAAAATCCGTTATGCCAATTCTTCTTTATCAGATGATGGGGTCTAAATTACATGTATTGGCGATGCTACCAAATTGCTAATGCATATCTCGGATCGGAGATTAACATTCTGTGTTTTTTTTTTTTTTTTTAGTCAGAGAAGATTAATCCAAAATGAAATTTTCAATTATTTTCATAAACAAAACAGACTGGTTTCGATAAAAACAAAACAAAAGCGGCTTATTATCTTCAAAAGGTCCCAACATATTTGAAAGATCATAAATACTTTTTAATTATTCTTTGCCACATGGCGTCAGCTTAGAGCTCATGTGGGCAAAACAATGAAATTTGAGAAAAAGCGCAGGACCAAACAACAATTATGCACGCACGCACATGTGCCAGAATCAGATTGTGAGGCTTTGCGGGGTTGGAATGGAATAGAATTCTCCTCACTTAGACGAACGGGACCCATTTGTGGCGACTCGTCCGGCCGAGACCTGATAGGCTTTGGTGGTGTGGTAGACGAAGCCAAACCGAAGCCTCTCATGTGCTTGACCGCGGTTCCCGTCGCACCTAACCCAATCCTATGAACCCCTAACTCGGACAGACTCGACTCAGATCGACCACCACTACTCGCTCGCTTCCCGTTTGGCCATGCCACTCTGGTTCACTGCGTTCATCTCCCTCTCCAGAGAGGACTCACTCGCATTATCACCCCTAAAATTGGCGTGTTTTCCAGGTTATTGTACGGAATTCAGCCATGGCTGCAGCTGAAACTCACGCCCCTAATCCTAAATGTCATCTTTGCAACGCGGGAGCTGGTGCCGCCGCCGGTATGTCATTTTCTCGTGCTTTTTTTGTACCCTTTGTTTGGTTGTAAATGAATTCAGCGAAAGTTGGAATATTGAGTAATTTGTTGTGCTCTGATTGCGAATTGGAAAGCCATTTTGATTGCATTGATATGTTTTATCACAATGAGATATTGATTGTATTGTATACATATATATATATATATATATACACACACACACATGTAGATTGAATATAAGAAACTTGTTGTTTATGATGCCTACTTGTGGTTTTCTTGTGAATCATTTGATATTTTTATACTTTCAGCTATTGATTGTTTGAATTGGGCAGGGGTTATTGCTGCAACATTTGTGTGTCCTTTAGATGTTATCAAGACTAGGCTTCAAGTTCACGGGCTGCCAAGGCTCGGTAATGGGAATGTCAAAGGTATGCGCTTTGACTTTGCACGACACCAATATCAATATGTTTGCTTTCTATTATTTCAAGCACTTAACTTTTCTGAATGAGTGTTGTTTTTATATGGGTATCATGACATTTTGTATGTTTATTTGATGGACAATTTATTTTTCCATGTCATCAGGTAGTCTCATAGTTGGTTATTTGGAACAAATATTTCACAAGGAGGGGTTACGTGGCATGTATCGTGGGCTCTCTCCAACTGTCCTGGCATTACTTCCTAACTGGGCAGTAAGTCTTGATACTTTCTAAAACCAAATTCTTCATTTTATTCACATAACCAAATGCAACCTAATAGTTTGTAGAAAAGAAGTTCCATACATGTGTTGAATAACGAGAAATCAACTTGGCTTACTTATTATCCATTGGTTATATTGGCCACAAACAACACAACTTTTCTGATAATTGAGGCTTTCGTTAGGTATCATATATTTTTCTCACCACAAATATTCTCTTTGTTGCTCATGCTTTGCCTCTGCCTTCTTACCTTGGAACTTGGAAATTTATAAATTTTGTGAATAATCACATATTGTAACTCTTTGTAGGTTTATTTCACAATTTATGACCAGCTCAAAAACTTCCTTTGCTCTGATGGTTAGTACATGACCATTTTCTTTTTAGATGAATTGTTTAAACTTTAAACCATATTTTTCTTTTAGGTAAATTCACCATCCATCTATATCTCATTTCCAAGTGTGTGTGTGTGTATTTTTGTTTTGACATTGGTGCATGTATAGACGAGAGTCATCATCTTCCCATCGGGGCCAATATGCTAGCTGCTTCGGGTGCTGGAGCTGCGACAACTATTGCTACAAATCCGCTTTGGGTTGTCAAGACTAGACTTCAGGTGTGTCTCATTTCATTGTAGTTGTGTCTACTAAGGAGCTTCTCGTTGAAGTATTTGTCTTATTTCTATTGTTACCAGAACTAGCAGCTGTAGAATGAAAAGTGTTGATTTAGCATACTGTTATTGTCTTCTCTCCCAATTTTCCTGTTCTATTCTGCAGACTCAGGGAATGAGACCAGGTGTGGTGCCATATAGGAGTACACTTTCTGCTTTGAGGAGAATAGCTCATGAAGAAGGCATCCGTGGTTTGTACAGGTTTTGTATCCCATATCATTAGTAAGTTGTATTAATCAATGTGTATCTAATTATTTATGTTGATGATGATGCCTGTAATGTGTTGTTTGACAGTGGTCTTGTACCTGCTTTGGCTGGTATCAGTCATGTTGCCATCCAATTTCCAACCTATGAGAAAATAAAATTTTATTTAGCTAATCAAGGTAATAGTCTGCCTGCTTTTAGTCTTTTATGTACTGTTGACAGAGTTATGATGTATGTTTTGATGTCATTATATCATATAGCACTGCAATAGATAGGGTTTAGCCCCCTGCATTTAGTCTTTTATGTACTCTTGAAAGAGGTGTGTTATATAATTTGATGTCATTATATCAGATAACACTACGGTAGATAAACTCGGTGCACGTGATGTTGCCATTGCCTCATCTGTATCCAAGATATTTGCATCAACATTGACGTACCCACATGAGGTACCAATTTGAATGAATTTCCCAATTTGATTTTAACCTTTTGTAGTTTTTTTGGTCAAATTTGAATTCTTTAGTTTTCTCTCCCCGAAAATACCCATGATTATATCAGTTCAAAATACATACTTTCCATGAAGGAGGAGGGCAGAAAAACGTAAAAGCTTTCAGTGATAAGCATACTATGCAGAAAAAATTTACCATATTAGCGGAAGTTTTCTAGAAGCTGTAGAATAAGCCATCCATTAAAGTAGCATGTTGAAAAATCATGCACTAACAAAAATTATATGTAGGTGGTACGCTCAAGGCTTCAAGAACAAGGCCACCACTCTGAGAAGCGTTATTCTGGTGTTGTTGATTGCATTAGAAAAGTATTTCAGCAAGAGGGCCTCCCTGGTTTCTACCGTGGATGTGCCACCAATCTTTTGAGGACAACACCAGCTGCTGTAATTACATTCACAAGCTTCGAGATGATTCATCGGTTTCTTGTTACTTTATTCCCCCCCGGTCAAACACTATGAGATGGATCGTTCTCCACTGAGGATGGCGGAAGAAAGAACGAGTCGTGTTACTTGAAATTAATTTCCAAATAGTCAACTTAATTAGGTTAGCCATTACTTGTCTGGTGATGATAGGCTAAGGCTTCCCTCATCGGATCTGTATGTCGATTGTTTTGGTGGCTTTTATATGTATAAAAGAAAAGTAAAGATATTGCAGGCTCATGCCCCCATGAAGTTGTTTTTGGGGGGAAAGTGAGGAGTATGCCATTTAAACACTGATGATGATGAGAAAGTAGCGTAGTTTACAATTAAAGGGTTGTGAATTTGATTTATGGGACTGAGTACTCATGACATTAAAGTTCCATTATTTGTCATGTTCTTGTTACTTGTTGGATGTTGGACTAAAAAGTATCCTTATTTCCCTCATGCCTTAGATTGACGCTACAAGATCTTTACATAAAAATGAAACACGGCAGCTGTTTCAAAATGCACTCGTGTAGTACAATTTATCCTTTATGTTTTTATGAATGAGGAGAGCACAATGATTTTTTTGGAATCTCAGTTCTTTACAAACTAAAGGGTAAACATAAATACAACAAGATGGGGGGGAGGAATTGTTTGCGTTATTGCTCAAATGCATGCTAATTGCGCATTTTACCGGTGGGTTTCGGTGATTGTTTCTCATTGTACTAGAGAAATGGTGGTTGGCATGCGGATTGTAGTTTTTGTTAGATATGCTGGCAGATGAGGTTTTTATTCAAATTTGTAATTAGTAAAAGAAAAGGAAAAAGAACTGATAATGGGGAAGTCATGCGTTTGGGAAAAGGAAAAAACAATTAAACTCTGAAACGAATATTCAAATTTGTATTAAATTATTTAATAATATTGTCAACAGCATATTCCATCTCTGATCAAAAGTGGTGCAGTGCAGTTTGTGAAACAGAGTTAAGTAAGGGAACAGTTTATTGCTAGTCTACTTGAGCAATGTGGAGATGGCCATGCAGTTGCTTGCCAGCTTATGCAATGTAACAACATCTTCCTCCTTCAAAGGCAGCTTGAAGCCGGGAGACTCGGCGACAGCATCATCACAAGTACCAAAATAGGTAATCACTCCGCTAAGCCTGGTTTGTAAAGTGCCGACGTCGCGCGCGGCAATGGCCTCACTGGCACCGTTGATGTCATCTACGGCAGATTCGTAGACTTCTTGGCATACTGCGATCGACGACACATCTGCTGGCGATGTGGAGGGATTGCTGGCCGTCTTCTTCAACTGGCCGAGGGCCTCTTTGGTGAGGTCCAAGCATGCCTTCATCTCTATTTGAAGGACGTTGGTAGGGTCGGCATTGACGCGTAGGTTAGGAAGGACGGTGCTGGAGCAAAGAGCAGAGTTAGCAGTCTTGGCACAGATTTTTTCAACAGCCGCATCTGCCTGCGGGGTTGGGCGTGATGAGACTTGACCGGAAGAGATGGATATGAGGAGGACAAGGAGGACGAGGAGGAAGACCCGGCTGTTGATGAGCTCCATTGTCTCTTCTCTTCTCTTTACAGGAGGAGGTACAAGAGGAGAGACAATTAAGGAACAAGAGGTTAGGGAGAAGGGGAAAGAAGGTTGTGTTTTTAGATGATTGAGTAACCGAGTTAAACCTGCACATTATATATACCAACAACAATGGCATTTAGGGTAACTGCTTTTGGAGAAATTAGGATGGCCAACTTTGGTTACATCCTAGTGGTTGCAATTTCTGGTACATTTTATTCATAGTGTGTTCTTGTTATGGGCGGTAGGGAAATTTATCAGTTATAACCAACCAGCCCATACCATATGGCGTACAGGTTCTGATTTGCCACTTTTCTTGTGCAATACCGAACTCTCTCTCTCTCTCTCTCTCTCTCTCTCTCTCTCTCTCTCATTCTTTTTATTGTTAACTTTAAATAAGCTTCTAAAAACACTGATTAAAAAAGAATTTTTCTATTTAAATCCCGCACTTCTCTTTGTTCACCTCATATTCTAAGTTCACCATAACTTCTAATTCAAATTTTCATAATTTCTTAGAAAACCCCATTATCTTCCCAAACTATCTTTAAATATACACATAACAGAAAATAAATAAATAAATAACTCATCAACCTCACACCCCACACCCACCTCAATCTCACATTACTTAAAGGGATAAAAACAATGTTGTCAAATGTATAGCAGCATTACTTTATTATTATTATTATTATTATTTTCCTAGATAAAAACACCTTAACCACTACAACTCTCTCTGCATTTGTAGAGCTGCACTGGATACGGATGAGAGTTGGGGAAGAGGAGCCAACTTTGCTACCAGATGCAAGATGGTCCCCCTGGATTCCAGTAGTGTAGAAGCAATTATTTACCACACACAATGCAGAAAAGATTTTCATGCCGAAATTCAATAGCAAAAGGGAGTAATAAATATTGGTCGTTGCTGAGGCTAAACCGTATTAGATCAGGAAAATATTCTTCGAGTGTTCTTATAATTTCGATTATCCCGCTATTAGTGGCTATCTTGTGGATAATTCAATATGTAGGCAATGCATCTATACATTTTCGCCTGTTACTGTTTGTAGCCAATGCATCTCACTTACTGTACAAAGTCAAGAACTCAGAGAGACGCTGTAAAGCTTCTTTCTGGGTATAGAATGTACTGGTCTCTCCTTGTTTAACCAAAATATTGTGGAATGAAAATTGTTATGCAGACAGTTCAATTCTCACTCTCTTTTCCTGATTATATTGGCATATCACATGGTTAGTTGTGATGTGCCAATGTGAAGAGTGGTGGGGTGTGTGGGTGTGTGTAGATGTACTAGGGTTAAGTATTATGTTGGATGACCTTTTTTTGTCTTTTTACACAATAATAAAACTTAAAAGCTTAATGATTTGGTATTGGGGTGAAAAAAAAAAGTGTGGGGTTTAAATAGAAAAACTCTTAAAAAAAACTTCTAAAAAGTTTGAAAGACGAAATATAAATAAGGCTATACAGAGCAATTAGGCATTTTGAAAAGTTTATTTTTTTCAGACCTCATCAGTGATATCAAAAACTGAACTAAACTTTTTCACCTTCGAAGCTGCAAAGATATTGCAGGGTGTTCCTTACTTGGAGAAATCCCAAGACCATATGACGCCACGACAAGACGCTTTCCAACTTCAGGTTTATTAGGCTTATATCTTCTTTGACCATAGCCAGTAGGCGAAGGTAAACATACCGGCTTTGCGGTCCTTTTGGCAGAAAACTGGGTAAAGGGGCTAACTTGTATGCTCGAACAAATATCATCTGCTTTAGTCTTCAAGTGTTCTTCAGGCCAACTTTGAACAACTCTGGATGTAACAGACCTTGTAGGACTTGAAGGACCGCCATCTTCACTAAGATTCGAAAAGTATCTGTGAATAATGCCGGATACAGATACTACTTCTGATGAAGTCTGAGTGGGCTCATCTATCATTGATTTAGATGGACAATCAGGAAACTTCTCCTTGTCAATTTGGACTCCATTCACTTCGTATGCTGGGGAGATTTTCTTTCTTCTTTTCCTTATCTTTGTAAAGTAGAAAGGTCTTCTGAGCTTTCCGAGTAAAGAGTTGTGGCATCGAAATAATTTTTCCCGCAACATCCTTTTACAGTGGCCTTTTGTGTTACTCTTAGCAGTGCTTGTAACAATATTCTCTGGATGCAGAGGATGAGTAATACTAAATTTAGGTTTTGAGGCTGCATACTTAGGTAAACATGGCCTATTGCAATCACTCAAAAATCTTGCTTCCACATGAAGAAACCATGTTCCTTTCACTCCCCGGAAAGCACTCTTCATCGGCACTGAATCAGGCAGGTGATACAAGCATGACTTTCGCTTGACCTATTAAAAAAAGTAGAAGCAACAACCAAAGATTGATGTATGAGGTCAAGAGCTAGAAGAAATGAAAGAGTAGCGGAAGTAAAAAAATCACGCTATGAAATAAAGATACTTAAAACAATTCACCATCAATCTGGAAACTCGGATCTCTCCTGAATTCCAGAAACAATTGAAGTGCTGTGCCTCAAGTTCCCCTGCAAAACAGATTTGGCAATAAAAACCATTGCGTAAATGGAGCAAGGCAGATAATAACAGGATGTTACAATCTGCACTAAGGTTCAATAACTTCATCACATCATTAACTACAAAAGTAAACACTTTGCTCTGCTTTGTAGAAGATTGTGTAAATGTAATGTAACAGAGTGTCCGATCTGTCTGATACTGAAAGGGCCCGACCCGAGAAGCTTATGCCAAAAAGAAAAAGCCTGAGAATCCTTAACATTATTTGATCAGGCATGAAAAAACATATGCCATTGCCAACAAAACACACCTAGCAGCTAAATCCTACAATGCGTCGCCACTAGTGCAATCACTAACAAGAGGGAAAAAGAAGGTAATGCCCAATGAACTAGACTGGACGTTTCAAACAAATCACTACCCAGAACAAAAACAAGAGATAAGTGAAACAACAAGTGCTTCTACAGTAGAAGTACAAAAATATATCAAACTAATACAAGAAAAATGACACACTCAATCAAACAAAGGAGAGACACCAAAATCTGCAGTTTAAAATGCATAATTGGAATGAAGTTTACTTTTATTCCTAATATAGTTTTTGTTTTTTGCTTACTTTTTAAGTCTCTTGCTGTGATATCTGGTGAGACATCCATGGCCATGCGAGTGCCCAAGTTGGTGTTTACGAAAACTGCTACTTCCACGGTCAAAGCCATTGGCGTCTTAGGATTTAGGAAAGGAAGAGAGGAATATCGAGAAAAGGCGGGGTGTTGAGTGAGAGTGCGGCGGAAGAGAGGAGGAGGTACGCGTTCACGCAGGGGTGATCTATCCCTTATGTTTATTTGTACCCATATAAGTTGGTGTATGTAACAATTTGGCCACTAACTTTTAAGAATTTACAATAATAATCTTTAAAGTTACAAAATTTTAAACTATTTGACGGAAAACTATATGAACGTGAACGGTTGTTCCAAATTGTAACTCGATGAGAAGTTTAGGTTGTGCAACTTTCCCTTAATACCCTCTTCTCATAAGCTCTGCACCTTAATATAAAGCACCGGCACTCCGTCGCCATCCTCGGTCAGTCTCATCTCATCTCCGATAAAAGGAAACCATGGTTTGGGGTTTCTTCCCCGATGACCCTCTCTCAGGTAATATCTTCATCTGTTCTTTTCTTTTTTCTTTTTGGCGCCTTCTGCTCGTTGAACTTGCTTTGTAACTTAGCCCCGCCGGGAAAATGAAACCAAAAACCAGGAAATTGAACTTGTTATATTAACTTCTTCAGCCGTAAACTATTAACTTCTTGTAGCTTGTCTCTTCGAAAGTAAATAGGAATGTAGAGTAGAAGTTGTCGGTGACAATGCGTATTTTAATGTTTCTGATGCTTTAGGTTCTAGTAAATCCCTATGTTTTAAGGGTTTAGTTCGCATCAATGTCTAACTGGGTTAGCATAATATGACAGGTGAAGATAAGTTCTATATCTTCGCAAGGGGAACGTACAAAGTGGGTCGGAAAGGTACGTACTTAACTGACATTTTATATGCACCAGTTACTCTTTTTGTTGAGTACATATTGTAGATGGAAAATGTGTCTATATTCTGTGATCATAATCATAATATCCACTTTTGTATAGTTGATTCTTCATTCCTTGGTTAGGCAGAAAGAAGGCAACACTTAGGCTAAACACCTTGGGCTAAAATCCAATTATTCTTCAGAATGATTTTCTTTCAAATTCCAAGCTGATGACCAACCACATAAGCATCTTCGATCTTACCAATGACATGTTTCTTTTCTTTGGCCATGAACTCCTTTTTGTTTGATTAATTAGTTTCACACCCTCTTCTCCTTTCCTCTCCTCTCTGACAAGTCCCCTTCTCCTACTATGCTTATGTTACTAAATTTGTTTATTTTTCTATGTGTGGCCGATGGTTTTAAATCATCACCTTATGCGACCTTGTAGGTTGTGATGTAAATATTACTAAAGATAAAGGAGTTTCTCGGGTCCATGCGGAAATAGTTGTTGATGCAATGATTTCTGCCCCCCTGCAAACAAAATCTTCTATTCTATCTTCAAAAGTTCGAATTAGAGATTGCTCAAAGTATGGAACATTTATTAACAAGAACCTTACATCGATGGAAAAGATTCATGAGTTACCGAATAAAGAAACATCACTAAGAGAAGGGGACTTGGTTTCATTTGGTACTGGCAATGCAATCTACAGGTAATATAACTATTTTTCTGAGTTTGCTTTCTGCATGTGTGGCATCAAAGAATACAGCTGTTTTTGGATTATATATTCTAATGTGATGCAGCTGGATAGCTCCAGATACAGTTACGTCTGCTGATTGTGAATGCTATTGCATAAGACTTGCACTGCAATGATTTCTTCCGTATTGATATGCTTATATCTTGTAGTAAAAATCTGGCAGATTTTCCTTTGTTCCGCTCATTTTCTTTGCGTGCTGCTCAGATCCAAC